ATTACCCCCCCCCCCTCTTTAACAAAGGTGACGGTCCCTGATTTTGCTGTTTCGCTTGGCGACCAGGACACGTAGGAGGTGTCTTTCTCTTGGTAGACTAGGTTATACCCTTCTACTTTTAGCTACCTGTCTTTTCTGTCAACATTTAACGGCTTTAATCGCGTTAAATGTATCTCATGGCATCGTGGCCGACGTTAGTTACGAATTAATGGTCGATATCGGTGCTGCTCTTGCTGCTGTTGTTCTTGTCGCAGACGAAGACCTTGCCAGTTTTATCTGCGCAAGTCTTTTCTCAGTAGCACCTATGATTCGCTTTATTTGCATTTCGACACTGATAGCAGCAATGGCAGCCACTTGTTTAGCACCAGGAATAGTAGGGCTCGGACAGCTTCATAACGATACCTTCTGACAGTTAATAAAGGCAAGCAAATCGATGTGTAATAGTTAGTGGGTTGGTCTACAGCAGTCCCAAGATTAAGGGAAATTTCATAGTTTGACCACACACAAACTGCTGCGTTTCCTGCAGTCACTGGAACGTTGCCGTTTCCAAATCAGTAGAAGCAGACCCATCACCGGCTCCGCGTAGTATTCCCAAGTCCAAAAGAGGACAATGACCCACGACAAAACTGCCTGGGGAGATTGTGGCTTTGTAAAAGCTTCGGATAGTGGGGCTAGTGGTAATGATGGGATGATCAGTAGAAGAAACAGGGAAAAGCTAGAGGACTTCCACGGAACTAGGATGAAACTTGCCACTTTAGTTCGTAGCACGAGCAGAGGAACTTGCCGGCTTGCCGAGCGTGGTCTTGGTTGGTTCGGCTTAAATGGGGCTATGAGCCAAAGAACTAGAGTAGCACACCAAATGTTTCGTAGATTCGCTCTGAGTTTGTCAGCCTAGTAACCTTCAAATCAAACCATCGGTGTGGGTGGAGCTATTACCTGTTCACTCGAATCTTTAAGGCCCGGAGCACGACTAGATTAATTACATCCGTTGGCTGCTGATGCATAGATGCAGCGTTATCGATGCCTTCCGTAGTTTACGTCACTTGTTGCCGATGGGTGTGATCTGAACGAAGCAGGAAACCCGACAGTTATTTAAGCTTTGACCTAACAGTCAACTGTGAGAGGGGCAGATAGATGCAAACGAAAGACACCGGACAAGCAGATAGAGGGCACAACGCTGGCAAGTAGAACCATGCTGTTTCGATTATTATTACCCTTATTGTTAGAATGACGCCGTGAATGTCTCGCCCCCTCAGTTCGTTGCTCCCTCGTACACGACGCCAAATAAAGTTTGCCATGCCTCAGAAAGTGGCGAAGCTCAATATATTCTGCTGAGATGGCTTGTGCTATTATACGAGTCGCACACTGCTGACGCTGGCAGCAAGTTGGTGACAGGCAACCTGCCTGAATGCGTCGGTGTCCGGCGTTAAAACCTTTCAACATATTTACATTATCATGGTCTTGCTTTCCTGTATTTCAATAAGTAAATCCCTGAACTCTGTTGCCAAGCTCTGTCCCTTTTGTACACTTAGTTCCTAGTGCTATGGAAAAGATGATGCTTTCAAGTCAGTGCGACAATGATAATGCGATGCGGTGGTAGTGAGAGCAGCAGTAGCAGTCACAGACACGACGCCAGCTGGTTTTGAGGGATTAAGTCTGACTTTGGGCATCGAGTAAACGCAGCCACGACACTGTCGAATACTGATTCATTTTTCCTCCCATCCAAGGATTCCCACACCCCTGTGCGGTCCCTCTACCGATCAAACTCGATATAAGCCGCTAGCCTCAACTGATGCGCTAAGTATCTGGTACGCCGATGGTGGCATAAAGGACTTTGTGAATGACGGCGGTGCCCCCTTAAGCATCGACGTATAGATTCAAACCAGTAAGTACGAGAACTCTCGAAAGCTCTGCCGCACTCAGTAGTTTGCTTTGGTTGTACCGTCATGGGGTCATACTAAGCGTCAGTGTACACTGACCCTTTTTCCCCGCAGTCCATCGCAAATAGAAGCCGCTGCAGCGGCCCTTTCACTACAGTCGCTCCATCAAATTCACACATACCGTCCTTCTAGTGACGATATGTGGCCGCTTGGCTTTCATATACCCGGATCCAGTTCCACAGGCTATTGAAGGTGTCATAGGAGTGTCAGGACACGGTCAGGGGGTATGGGGGCGAATCCAGGGTATCAGGGGCACGGCCGAAGATTGTCTGAGGCGAATCAGGTGAAGGAGAATCTACCAGCAGGCCTACAGAACACATGCTGTCACTATCATTGGCCGAAGTACTGCATACTGCCCCTGTTACTACTGCCTCCTCTCTTATGTCTTTTTTCCCGCTTTGACCGTTTTTTCTCTCATCGATGTATTGCAAGAAACACTCGGGCAAATTCATAATTTACTGCCGGACAATAAATGCCAAGTGGGAGGAGGTAGCCCCTTCTCCTTGAAAGAGCAAGGGGTGGCAGAAGCCAACCGAAGGACCACAAATTGGACCTTACCTTTTGCCTCCAGAAGTACTCCTAATCCGCAGCAGATAGCTTTGCCGCTCAGTCTCTCGAACAGCCAACTTACCCAAAAAACACACACGAGTACGCAGCATGGGTGGGAAGTGCATGGACGTAAGATTATAACGATAGCAACGTAGTACAGGATATATGCATACAAACGAGAGAACCAATGAATGATCCGTACTAGCGTTACTGCTAGTATACCTTGTAAGCGGTAGCCACAACTGAGGCGATGACCGTACACGCTACTCTCAATATCATCTCCACTTCCATTTTCCCTTTATTCGCCTCCCGTCGCCTGTCTTTTTCTTACACACGAATATTCGCACGCGCTGCCAAATATAAAAACATACGTGCGCTCGTCGCATTTTCAGTAAGCGTAAACATAAAGCGAAAAGGTATAGGAGGCGAAAAACTGAAAGCCACAACCATGGATTACCTTTTGGTCCCTCCTGAACGTTCCTATGGAATATATATATATATATATATATATATATATATGTCGTTTCGGTTGCCGGCGGTCCATGCGTTTCCCGTAAGTCTTTTGCCGGCGCTTCGTATATTGAAAAAAGACGGTCCAGGTAGTCCAGGAACAGGCCGGCTGTAAGCGACCACTAAGTGAGCGGTGGCTGCAAAGAGAAGGAGACTACTTTTAGCACTGCTTATACTTCTATCGTCCATAGAAGGTGCAACATCAAGGAGGCCATCATCTCGTAGCGGGCGATGAAGCAGCTACATGGAAGTAGAAGATCCTTGCCTCCTTCGTAGATTGGACCTTCTCATCGAGTCGGCGAAGTGTTTGTTTATTAAGGTGACTATTGTGATGGTTTCGGCGGCAATCGCCTGAACTTCGCTATAACAGAGCCAGCGAAGTGGACCTTTTCCTGCTGTCTATATATACATATATGACTATTAGCAGGTGGGAAAGTGCCCTGGCCAGAGTCCAACTATTGATGTTGTTGGCCTGCGCTGGCAGCCTTACAGTGAACGTAGCCATGACGGTGACTCTCAGAGGTTTGATTCCGATAAATGTAAATGTCTAGCAGAGGCTTTGGTCCTCTTCTTCTATACACCGCCATATAGTTATATACAATAGAACCCAAAACGCAAGACTATGCTTTTTAGAATTGCAACATAGCATTCATATTTGCAATGAAAGTAGTTCTTTTGAATGGAAAAAGATAACGATTGTTATTTTTTAAGCTAAACATTAAAGGGTTTTTCTGACTTCTTTTACAGTAATAACATTAATGAACAGCGTATAAGCGCCACTGGGTAAGCCAATGGCATGGATCGTGGTGTCTACGCATATGTATACCTACAGACGCGGCGACGATTCCGAAGGCAGCGACTGCCCGCTTTCGGCGTTTACTAGATTGCCGATTCGCAGGTCTTTTAGGACAGGTTTTTTTTACTCAATGGGTGTGCTAGCTTAGTAGCTAAGAGAGAAGGTGGTCGATTGTGGGTTTTCTTTTCACATTGAGCTTTCATTAAACGCTGGAAAGTCATCAGCCGGTTAGACGGACCCACGAAGCGGCTAAGTAACTGAACCACAGACGGGAGTGCGGTAGCCTTTTTTATATTTAAATACTATTAAAAAAAGTTTCATCGATCGAAAAATTTTACTCTTCTATGAGAAGTATTCTCAGTGGTTTCCGCTGTGGAAAAGCAATCTTCATGGCGGAACCACCCTTTGGCGTGTCTTTCCGTTTGCTCATTGCCCGCCACCTGTTATGCAAACCAAGGGATGGAAATAACGTTAATGTTTGCGATCGTTTTTTAGGGAGCAACCAGAAGGCGAAAAACCGACCGAAATTCTCTGATATTATCGCCTCCTCACTACCTCCGATATAGCAATCAGTCATATGCAAAAAGCTGCTCGTAGTATTTTTGGGCTCTTTTCTGCCTGCCGAAGGTTGTGTTTTCAACATAATCAACACAGAAGTTTTGCTTAAATAGCAACCGCACGAAGTTGTTGCCAATGTGTGATACCGCAATGTACTCTTAAATTTGACAAAGCATCGTCATTGCCTAACCTAATATCCAGCAGTTTTTTTCACTTTCAATATAACTGTTTCTTACATTAAGTTTTAGATGCTAATATAGGTGAGTCTCGAAATACAAATAATTTCCCGCTGCAGCTGAACTTTTCAAGCCCTGCTTTCGCTTATTGTCGTGTAGAGGTCGATCACGAACGCAGTTTTACTAGAACAATTGATTCTCAATTTTCATTTTCAGTTCCGTCTCTGCATATGGTGTAATTAGTGTGACTAATAAAGTACGCAATACTAGGTTGTACTGTGGCATGTCAGCTCGAGAAGATATTTCAAATGACAGCCTTGATTAGTAGCAAAAAGGCAGGCAAGATCCGGGTTACGTGGCTGGGCTTTTATTGAGGTATCAGGCTACAGCTGTCGGCTAGTTTTTTCGCATAGAGGCAAAGAACCGGAGAGAAAAAGGTACATCAGCTTACTAGTCCGAACATGAATCGGCGGCGCGACCTGCCAGTACTTTTTCGCCCTATCCCCTGCCGTGCTTGATTAGTACGGCCGATTGGGAGAGCCGTCCAGGCCACACAGGGCCCGTCATCACGATTTTGTAGAGCTGGGCGCCGCAGATAACCATACTCGAACGTACGCGTTGGGGCAAATTCGATGTAGGTGCCAGCTTTCCCATGGATCGCTCGTAGATTGTCGTATTGTTCGTTGCTAACACGACTAGCGCCTGGACCGTCTTCGCTATGGCCTAGTTATCGGTTTGGCGACTTGGTTGGCGGTTGGGCAGAAACTCTAGGAGCAATTCGGGCCAAGGGGATTACTATTTGATTACGACAACGATCATATTATCGCCATAACTATCATCTCTGAAGGGGATAGGGGGGTTTGAGTGCAGAAGCAGCTACATATAAATAGTAAGCTGCTAGTGGGTCAGTTGCTGGTCATTACTAAATATTTTGAGTTGCAGTCAGCGGCCTTGATACGAGTGGTCCTGGTATAGGATCCAACATCGGGAGCCATCCCTTACACCCCGTCAGAGACAAATTGCTTGCGGCACTCACAAAATATTGATCGCTGATGATAAGCGCTAGAGGTATAGCATCATCTATAATTTGCGTTGCAGAATCACAGAGACGGAGTCATCGGAGTTATGAATTCGCTGTTTTTCTATTCGATGTTTCGTAGAGAGATGTATTAAACGTATCTGCATAGACATGGCTATAGATGGGACTAGAGGTTCTACCTGCCTAAGAGGAACAATTTCCCAATGTCTGCGGTACATGCGATATTAAATTCAATGTAAAAATAAATTTACTGGGTACAGATGCCAACTAGAATCAGAAAAAAACAATAAAAGATCACAAAACTAATAGAAATAACACAATGTATGTAAGTCAGGTGATATATTCATTAATTAACGAATTTATGATTGAGCTGTCTTGAGACAGTATCTTCTTTGTTAATTTTCGACTTATAGAGATAGCCTTAAGTGTCAACTAATATTTTCGGTCCATCAGCTTAACTTTAGCACCAGTTTACTGCAACTATTCAGTACCAGATTGACAATGTTATGAGAAGTATCCGGGCCTTCGTTGACGTCGGACGTCTATCACAATATAGACGGATGGAATTTACCATCGGTGCCTAATTGCCCTGATGTGGGCCGTTTTTTTGGCATTTCCACCCAGTTCAAATCGCTAGAACATCACTTGATCAACAGTCGCTACCGTACGATGACTAGTGGCAACAGCAATAGCAGCAGTATTGTACGGACCGCGAATAGCTTCGCCGGTAATAAAACCACGCAGAAAGGAACTAGAGCAATGGCAATAGCAGCATCAGGAACGATCTTTCATTCTTCAACAATGCTAGTCCACGTTTCCGCCGTCCGCAGCTTCGTTAGAACCTCGCTGCCCACCGATTTGAGCAGGACCGTCGTCTCCATCGCCGGTTATCTAGTTTCGCCGATCCTCGATGGGGGACCTTCTCGATGAAACATGCCACTGCTCTACTGCGATGACTATAACCACAGCTTTATTCCTAGGTGCACATGCATAAAGCATAAGCCGCATAATAGTTGCCGCGTCAAGACGAGGCAGACAAAAAGCGACGGCCGACCGGCCCAACGAAAAAGCGAAAGAACAAACCAACCAACAGATAAGGACCAACAACAACAGGAGCAAAGTTAGGCATGCGCAAAATGTTTCGATACCAAGCGGTACCTAATATAGTTCTTTACTCTGCCACACAATAACATACAGAGCCCTATTACACTCCACCAAATCCGTTCGAGCCTTATTGGGACCTTTCCCGTTTTGGAAGTCTTCGCTGGCAACCTCTGTGACCGCCGGAGCTCTCTCGAGTAAATCCACATCTTTCGCTATGGATGCTGGTTAAGTGTGATAGTTAGTATTGAAGGTGTCCCAGCATTTTTCATGCACCAAAATAGAGACAGACGCCGCCTCAAAAAAATTGTTCAACTAAGACCACATAATGTTAGCATAGGTCAGTGTACATTCGTCACGTTTGACAGGGGGCGACCTCGAATCAAGCTTCTATTATTTTTGTTATTGTTATTACCAGCACACTACTAGCGAATTTCGTTGATCGCGATCCCCTCTCAGTCTATTGTAGTTGCAAATTCATTGCCAAAGGTAAGGGCGAAAGTTCTGAAACATTTGGGTCGTCTGTATATTTCGTTTTTATACTCCAAACAAACTATTTACAAGAAAAACCGGTAACTAGTCACGACAAAAATTTCGTGCAGATGCGCTTATTTGAGTCAAATGAATCTAGATGTTAATCAGAGTTTAGATAGATTTTTAATAAATACGCCACCGGATGATTGAGAGGGGCAGGAGACTGTGTTTAAAGGCATAAATAGTAAGAGAGAGTAAAGGGGAGTAGAGGTGGAGTTTGAAAATACGTAACACCACCGCTGTCGGGACGGGTTAGAGAAGATGCATATAGGCCTCGACGTGTAAAACCTGTAGGAAACGAATCACACCTATGCACATATACACTGTAAACTTTGATAATATATAATTTTCGGCTGTACTAGAATGACAAACAAGCAGCTGGCAGTAGGACGCAAACAGATATCAGCAACTCGCGTCATTGCGGGCGGAGTCTTACGAGTCCACGCGGACCGTACTCAAGCAGGCGCGCTTGTGTGCGTCCGCTGCTTTCGCTTGCCAGCAGCACCAGCAGTTAGCAATGGGCTATTGAGTCGTAGTTCTTGTTTGAGCTAGGAGGAGAACGTAGTCTGTTTTGTCGTCGAAGACCAACGGAGCAACATAGGAATGTCGTCTGGGGGCACGAATGGAACATCCAGCTCAGCCAAAGCAGCGAAACGGAGGCGGGTTGTAATTGGTATGCGCAGGCGCTCTCTGGGAGCTCCGCAACTCCGCGCCAGGAACTCTGACGTGTTTTCGCTAACTCCTGGCTGTAAGTCAACCCAGCTGCCCCTTACACTGTTGGTAAGTGCAGAACTACGTGTGTTGATAAGCCGCTGAACAGAACCTTTATGAAGCTTGTCGGCCGGAAGATCCCTCGGGCTTGCCATCACTTGTCGTGCGTTTACGCTCTCTTTTCGTTTCTCCAGTTGCCTCTGATCTCGGCGGACCTTCGGAGGGCCCTTTCGATACAGCGTTGAATCGTTCCAAATCTAACTAGCTTAATTCTCCTTCCTTCTTTCGATACAGGGCTTGAGGGACGCGGCGGTGCCTAATTCCGACGACCGACCTACCAACCTGCCTCACCCGTACCAAACGTTCGGCAGATCGCCAGTCTGACTTAGGCTGTCTGTCGAACCGCTCTGTTTCCTCAGAAAAATTTCCCATCCATGGTCGTGGATAGAATGGAACAAGAGAACGCCTTGAAGAAGACGAGGCCAAGGCTCATTAAGAGTCACACTGTTTCGATGACATACGCAGGTACAGCATGGGCACACAGACGGGCATACCTATGTACAACGATGCAACGTGCAAAAGTGGTCAGGTAGAAGATTGCCCCACAACACGGTAACTCAACTAGGACCAGCTGTACAAATATATACAGTGTTTCTTATGATGAACATCCCCGCATTTCGAGTCGTGACGTTTTGCGGATGTATTCGAAAATGATATATGGATGTCAAGATTTTAAAGGGCGCTCGGCGTGACCACATTCGTTAGGGTTATAGGATACTTAGAATGATGTATATGGCTGTGTTGGAATTTGTCACTTTCACACATGGCATAACCGGAAAAAAAACAAAACTCTACCTAGTCTCTCACCTGGAGGGTATGAATCCTAGATAAACTTAACGGCTCGGCAAATATTTCCTACGGAAATTAGGTTACTATTTTTACCATTATCATTATGATCATCATCACAACCACCGTCATTTGAATAAACCGCTTCCATGACACCGGTACGGGAGAAGCAATGACGTGTTCAGACAAAGAGCCCAAAAACCAAATGCTTTAAATTGTCATTTTTTTCGTTTTGGCGTATGCGCTGGACTCCTACCATTTTACTTTTTTCTTTTTGTACTTCTCAACGAAAAGCTTTCGCTGCGCTGGAACTAGACTTCACTTCTAAAGTGAATGCGGGATCGCGGTGGTTCTCAGCGGTAGCACCATCAAGAACAATTAAAAATAATAATTGCTTAGACTTTGTAGAGAACAATGGCGGGCTGGCTGCAACGGCGCAGGCGCTCGCAGGAGTACATTGTACCAATGTTCTAAGCTTTGGAGGCTGAACGGCCTTATCTTCTTGACTCGCAAACCCATTTTCATTACCTTGCTTTCCATTGTACTTTGCTAGTGCTCCCCATTCTGGCGGAGTTAAGCCGTTCAGACTTCCAGGATCCGCCGCGCCTTCTCCCTAACCGCTACTAATCCACCCCCTCCATGTTGCTCGACCTCCTTATATCCCTAGAAATGGCTTGTTTTTCTATGCTGCTACCACTGTTTCTTATGCTGTCTAAGCTTGCTTCAAATGTAGAAGGAGGGCATGCAGGCGTAGCAAGCTAGGAACCAGCTAACAAGCCAACAGTTAACTGGTTTCATTAAGAGTCACACTCTTAATGAAAGAAGTTAGCTGTTAGTTATCTTGGGTAACTGGCCGGCAATGTTTTAATCTTGACCGGAGTAGCAGTACTACCATCATGATCTTCCTCGCTCCTTTCCTCTCCCCTATTTCTGCTTTTCTCTGTTTGCACCGACGAATCTTTCAGGTTTCGTCTGCTTTCGTTCTTCACGTACGCCCCTGGCTTCGTGTGGCCTTATCCCGGTAGCCATTACCGTCATATCGTGAATGCTGTTCCTGATTAAATGGCTGGCTGCGTGTATATGTGCTTGCACCTTTTTTGCTGTCGTGTTGCAGCTGCTGCTGCTAGCCAAAGCTTCAGTCTCACTCATCATTTTTCGGTGCCATAATGGCCATTGTTACACTGGTGAGTAGTTGTTCGGTGTGTTGAGAGCATAAGGCTATAGATGATGTGGGTAAGCGCGTGGGTACAGCAAAGAGGCATGACCATTACAAAGGATGATCCCTGAGCTAAAATTTACCTAATGGTTGGATTGGATTCTCAGTAGCAGGTAGGAAGTGGTCGCCCGGTCAAACGTAGACGTGAGTGGCATGAACGCGAGGCAGGGCGTGAGCCTGGAAGCCATCGAAAAAGCCAACATTAAGATTTCGGCTCACAATAGTGCAATAATTTGGACGACGGGAGAAAGAGCGTTTAAACCACGGAGGTGACAACGGCACTTCTTAGGACATAACATTCGATAACTCACTCGCTTTTAGGTTTTTGGAAAATGGACACAGGGATGAATGACGCTGGTGATGTCTTGAACTTGGCAGACGCTCTATTGGGTCGTCGTAACCTGCCATTGTCACTAAGTCGTTGCGTTACTCTAGTTTACGTGATGGAGAGGAAATGAGTCCGCAAAAGAGCGGAGCAGAAGCAAGCATCTAGGAGGTTTCTGAAATTGAACACAATGAACAACAGCATAATAGGCTAGTCTCATTATACGATTGTATTTATTTTGTATATTTCTTTAAGTATTCAGACTGGCTGGATATTTACCGCCGTGACATTAACTGACGGCGACTAGAAAAACGCTCGTTAAACGTAGAGCCTTCTCGTGCTGACCCCACTTACGTTTATTGCATACGTTTATTGCTATTACAAGCCGTTTAACCGTCAATTTTACTATAAACTATACACGATGGCGTTCTTATATTTATTAAACATGCTCCAAAATTTCTTGCCGTTTCATTCTCCTCCCCTCCACCCGCTTGCCTGTGGTTTACTATTGATTTACCCTACATCATAGACAGAATTATGTTCGACCTTGTCATTTACTGCTCTAAAAGGACCCGGCCAACTACAACTGCCATCGCCACCTCGACTCAATCTCAGTGTCACTTACAACGACACAAAGATCATGATGAGCATCAAAGCTGTTAAGCGGCAACCTTTTGTTTTTTCAGCCACTCCCTTGCTTTGATTTTACCACCCTGCTCTCTCGTTGTCCTGTTCTGTCGTTATTGAAGGAACCTTACTTGTCCAACGAATTTTGTTGTGGCTGGACCCACCCACAGCCTAGCACACGGCCAGCACTTTCTCCGGTAAACACTCCTCTTTTGCTGTTTTTGCCTCAGCTCCTCATTTAGCTTCGTTGCTTCAACTCGGAAGCAATTGCTATGATAAATACGAGGGCCGCAGCAACATCGCTTCCATCAATTGCATAGGGCACATCGATCCGACAGAAGAATGACGTCATTTGAGTTTATCCAGTCCGGCGGCAGGCCAGCCAAAAAGACAAAGGGAAGCTGCAAGAGGCTCGAGAGAACAGACGATAAAAGCGAAGCAAGGAAAAAGGAGAAAGATCAAGCTATCCAACGAAAAGCGGGTAAAGACTATGATAATGAAAAGCGAGAGTTGAGCGGCCAATGGAAACAAAGTTCATCGCAGTGGTGTTCAGCTACATCAAAACACAGCAGGGACCGAGCTAGTGTAGCAGGAATATCGTGCCAGAAAAGCTGTGTAGTAAGAGCAGCTAATCGATGGCAATCTGCGAGGCAGGCGTTGGTTACTGCCGCCGAGTTATGTAGTTTGAAATGCAACTGGTTATCGATGCCGATGGATGCCACTGCAGAGATCAGCAGTAGCTGGGACCCGCCCTCTGACGGTATTTCATGGGTATCATGGGTGGACCCTGACGCGGATTGGGAAAAACTAGGAAATGGAATTGGAAACCAGGGAAAGCAAAAACGCGAGCGGCCGAAAGAACTAAAGAGTAGGTAGACAACAAAACGGCAGTATACTGAAGGAAAGGGAATAGGCAATGATCCTAAAACTTGGTAAGGAAAGGGAAAACTAGACCGAAGGCGGGAAATTGAAAGAGAAAGCTAGAACTAACAGTAACTTCCAATGAATAATGAGTAAAAGAGGACGACAAAAGAAATGATATGGGACAAGAATGAGAAAAATGTGGAATAGCGGATCGCAGTTGACCCTAGAATATACTTTAGAAGCTAAACCCGCGCGGAGAAGCTCACGTAACGGCGATGACAATAACTTCGAAACAGAAGCATATGTGATAATGATTGTGGTTGCAGTATTTGTGGAGACGACCCCTACAGAAAAGTACGACTAAACAAGACAGAGATGGGGCAGCAGAAAAAGCCGAAGGGGCAAAGGATGGCAACAGCAAAGAGCACCCAGGAGCTGTTAAAAAAATAGATGAGAGAATGAGGGCGAAGGGCAAAAAAATAATTACGAGTAGAATAATTTAATTGCTTTAATATGGTTATGGACGCTGTGAGAGCGGCTAAGACTTGGAGATTGAAATGCGTTAAGATGTCGATCATGATTTTTCTGTTCTTTTCGAAAAAAAAGTGAAAGCAGTTAATGTTTTTTCTTGTTTTGAATGGTTTTGGTTTGGACCACGAGCCCTCTTCTTGACTCTAATAGGCGCCCTGATGCTCACCGTAAAGTTTTATTGGATCCAAAAGGTGGCGAGGGCTTCATAAGAACGTTTGGCAACATATTTCTCGACGCTTCATCATTATTGTTAATGGCATTGCGTTCCAAAGGTTATCGTACCACCATCGAGATGGCAATGCAACCGAGTTTTATCTAATCTGGCGTACTTTGAAATATAAATTATACAAAAGCTCTGAATGAGAAACACGGCCTAGCGGGGGAATGGTTTAACTAAAAAAGTCATTCGAAAGAACGGTCGATGCATGTAGTACAGCCACGTACGTATCAAATTGGGTCCGAGCTGATAAAGAAAGAGATTACGCTCGTAGTACAACCAAAGAGGATCAGCTATCTCAGTCCAGACTAACACGTACTTAGAATCAGGAAACGTTGTTTTATGCAGTTCCTATGTATAATTTAACTTAGCAGTTCACATATCTTTATGTCGTCTGTTGGTGTTATTGCACGAAGGAGCCTACTCAGTGAACTGTTATCTGTCGAGGCTGCATTGCACACGTGCTGCACTGCTGCCTGTCCTTGTGTTAGGACACAATATGTCCTTCTGTTTTCTACGGAAATCCCAAAATACTAGCCAGAGATGATGTCGCTCTCATTGAAAGCCAGTCTGCCCGACTAACCTAGTCATTCCAGCATCATTCCGAGACCCGACGCTGTCAAAGCTGTTTCTTTCATGAGCAACGACTTGGCAGCGGCGTACATAAACTTTATTATTGTTGTTGCTTCTGCTGTTGTTGTTAGTGATGACGCGGACGTTCTCGCGGTTGCTAGTCGCCTGGTTTAGTTGTTCCCATTCCCTTGTTTTCATTGTGCTGGTGCTTCACAAATGCGGGGCTGGTCGCCAGCCAGAAGGTCAGTTTTAGGAGCTCACTGCTGCTACTATCGTTGTTAGATGGACGGTCTGTTACTGTGCGTCGCGCTCACTGTTTTGCTTGGACTTGTGTATGGCTTGTCCCGACACGCTGTTGCCCTCCGTTTATCCTATTTTCGTTAGAGTCAGTTTGCAGACAGGCCAATAAGGCATTAAGGCAGTGAATAGTGAGTAGCATTCCACATACTAGTTCTATGCTGTGTGTACCGAATTTCTTGTGCGATGGGTTAAGGCATGACGTAGCAGTGACCGCCGGTTACTGCAATACGTACACGTAAATATTGTGTACTGTATTACTGAATATGTGTTTATGTTAGTTCGCCAAAGGGTCCTAATTTTTCTTACGAAACCGCTTCTGTTTAGCTGATTTTTTGGGACTCAAGTCAAACCTTATCGTCGCTACGGTTACATGCACTTGAAACCGACCTTACATATTGTGTATTTAAGCATGCCAAAGTGGACTGGACTGTGCCATGGCTAAATGACAAGCTGAGCGACGATTTTTTTTTTCATTGTTAGCCCGGCCTTCTCCCGGATACCGGCGGCGGTCCGCCATTGTACACCGCCAACAGTCGGAGGCAGCTATGTGCCTCTTGTTCAGGTTATGTGTCCTTCTTTTTTCATTCCGCCTCTAACTTTCTTTTCCTTTTACCTTCGACCTTTTTCGTCCCGAACCCTTTCATAGTCCCTCTTTTTCAGCTCTAATGTTACCAATGGTGGTAACAATTATGCTGCTCTCACCACTGTCTACTTCTAGTGATCTGCAAGCGATGCTGTACTAACTTCTGCTTACAACTTAATTACACAGTTGGGGAGAAAGCCGCGAAAAAAATAGAGGGAGGATGTCTGGCCGACCTGGATCATTTTGTTTGTGTCTCGTCCAGTTTTGAGCCACCGCCTCGCTCTTGGTCGCTTGCATATGAACCACTCCCACACCTCGGAGCAGCAAAAACTCCAGAAGCAGTTGGATAGCAAGAAGTATTTCGCTGTTCAGCTGATTGGCTCGCACGTCAAAACCAAAATAACAATAGAAATAGTCATATTGTTTAGCTCAGTTGGTTCCAGTGTGCTGCGGCACAGGCGCCGTTACTGGCTTGTAACTTGAGGATATAAGGTAGCCGAGATAGTGGGCCTGTAAATAATATGTTTGCTGAGATGGCTTTTCTCACAAGCGTCACTTGTCTCCGAAGTAAGTCGCCAATAACACCTTATGTTGCTACAGCGGGGGGCAGCGGCAAGAACTAGCGCTGGCCTATAACAAAATGAGAAACCAGCAAAACAAGTGTACGAGTTGAAACAAGGAACCGGTAAAAGTTGCTGCTCGCTTCCGGAGAGGGGCATGTGGGAAATAATTACCGTCGCAACTTCTGTTGGTCGATAGCGGCCGCAGCAAATGTCGGCGAGTTCCGCATACTGAACGTTGATTAATCTATTTTCAATTTTGTTCGGCCAATCTAGCTATCGATAGCGCGATAGTTCAATGTTTTCGACGGTGCCGTCGGCTACTACGACGATACACTTATCGACCGGCCATGTACTGTCACCTCGTTGGCCCTATTATACGATGTGTTAATATGGCCTTCATCGTTTGTAGATATGAAGGCTACTCTGCCTCATCCCTACTGCTGTTGAAAAGCCTGTCAAGCAGGCGTTCGGAAGCTAAGGAGTGCTTATTGGTACAGTATACGTGTAGCATTGCAAGTAAGTTACGAAAAAGACCGGGAGGTTTGCGACGTGGGGTAGACCCAGGACATAGTGCTGTGCGAAGAGATGTCGCGGACGGTGGTTGTGGGTACATTAAATGCAGCTATATCAATACCAATAGAAGTGGATGGAGCAGAAGCTCAAGGCACAGGTATAGAGTTGTTAGTGTCTGAAAGTCATATCTATGCGAATTCGCCTATGCTACCCACTTATCCAGGAGGAAACTGTAAGCCGCCCTGCTGGTCGATTGGTCAGTCGGTCACATGACTTTTATTTGACTGTCCCATTTGCGTTATTATTCATTGCGGCGATGTTGTAATCTGAAGGAGTTAGCTGGAGACGACAGAAATAAGTTGAAGAAAGGCCGCGAAGGCTAGTGGCTGGGTCGTCCATTGTCACCTTAGCTGGCATCAATATTTGGCAGCTCAGGCAGGGGAAGATTTTTAAGAAGAAATAAAGAGCGACTTTGTGGGACACAGTTTTGTCGTATCCACTGCCAATCGACTGCTGACCTGAAGCCACATCAAAGATTATCGTTGCTATAAGCCATAAGCGAGTTGAATACAGCGTATCTTGTTTTGGCTTCCGAAGCCCTGACAGAATATAGGACTAATAATGGCGCACGGAAACAGTCAATTTGAGTCCGACGATGATGATGCATCTATTACGGTAAGAATCAATAGATATACATAAGAAAACAAACAGGAAAATGAAGGAGGAAGGAAACAAGCTTGTGGTCGTGACTGTTACTCGTTGGTACTTCCATTGCAAGTATCGTTTCACTAGTGGACAAGCTAGTCTGCTAATGCCGTATGGTTAACCAATCTGCCGCCAATGATGCTTACTGTTAGCTACGTGTATCCCAGCGAGAGGGCCCGTCGTAGCATCCGAACGGATCACTAAGAGCAGCCAGTGAGGCATCAAACGTAGTTGCTTAGTACTATCCTGAGGGATTTCATCAGGAAATTAACCCTAGTTCAGGTCGGCGGGCAAACGAAGGACTCGTTCCTTCATCGGTTTGCTACATCGCGGACCGTATTGCACTAACCAAGAACGCACCTACCACATCATTGTTGCTACATCATTGCATCACACAGCAACAGGTCATCGATCAAAGAACAGGCGAAGGATGGAGTACAGAGGGAATTCCAGTACTCAGCGCAACACATATACCCTACAACCACCAAAAAACAACGATGGATTTACACGAGCGAATGGACCAAATAACAACTAGTCTTACCACTACAAAAATGTTTCGAAATCAGTAAAACAACGACCGCTGTTCTACGGTAGCTACAACTACGGAATCAGGTTATTGTCGGAATCGGTGTTATTATAGGTGCGTGTTCTGACTACTGGGGTGATGTCTTGTCCCTCGGCCTGTTTAGATTCCTCGCTGTCTTGACCACCTGCATGTTAGTTCAAATCGTCTCCTTGTCTAAAACGTTCCCCTTTGTTGTGTTAATGTATCCGCTAGCTTCCTTATTAGGTTGAACAAGTCAGCGAGCAGTAGGACCGACGATTTAGGCTTCTCTATTAAAACTGCTACGGAAAAGCAGGAACTCTTAATGAGCCTCAAATCCAGCCTCCGTCTATTGGTGGCCATGAGCGTTTGCCCCCCGCCGTTGCTCGCTATGTGCGACGACTATAATTGAAGGCAACCAACAAACGGTGGAACAATCTCTATTTGACAAACAGCGGTGGTGTTCATTGTTTTGCATCCAACTGAAAAGGTTCACCTCAGCGAGCCAGCAAGTAGCCGAAATGTACCAATTAACCGACATACGTCGCATTGAACCCACCGTTTTCGTGTGTGCTTCTTTCGCTTCTGTTACCCCTATCGCGTCAGCCACCTTTTGCCGACCGTCGATCTATGACAGCGACTAGGATTACGCAAATGACATCATGGTTCAGCTAGGCAACGCATTTAGGAATTGCTGAGCACAACGCCACGAAGCCTCCGTCAGGAGAATCAAGGGTAGGGCAAACAGGAAAGAAGATGGGTCGATGCAGACCGGACGCCACGGTTGGAGTCGATAAACGGTTCAGAGCGAAAGAGAGTGAGTTGAGCCGGGAAAAAGGCAAGAATACTGAGAGACAGCGAACAAGTAAAGCGGAACGATGCCTTGCGTCGTGAGGATGGCGGAAGGCGAACACACTGATATAGATGAAGCGTTCGCTAGATAGCCGCCCCCTGTCACTTCTGCTTCGCTGTTCAACCTTTTCGTTCCTATCACAACGCAATGTCGTTCCTCGTATCGGTCGTTTGTGTTAGGCACTGAACGGAGATTCCGTTCTAAGGTACTTAGGTTCGACGACAGCGGGAGTGGTAGCGATCGAGAACGATGAGAAGGAAGACCGACAGATTCGTAGGTTCGGCGGCTGCTACTGCCGGCACCATACGTGATCTGCGAAGAAGATGCAATGGCCGTGCGTCAGGCTTCGGTGATTCTGCTGTTGCTGATACTCCTGCCGCAGCCGCTACTTCGGCTCAAAGCACGCAAGGAAGATCGACTCGTTGAGTTTTGGGCATCTTGACAGGTCAGCTTTTCTCGACAAGGTGACCAAATGTCGATAACGCATCGTCATTCATCTCGTTTCTTCGTTTCTCGATGAGCAAAGAGGAATCCAACGACGAGCGAGCGATGATCCAATCGTCTGACCACCATAGGCGGCGAAAGGGAGACAAAAGTTCAAAGCAAAAGTTGCCCTTTAAAGAAAAAGGAAGACCTTGCCGATTAACCGACTATAGGAACGCTTCTCTAATATGAAGCTGCCTACCTGTCTATCTCTTTGGTACTATCGTCCCTCGTCTTGAAGAACTCGGCTAGCCCCTGCACTTTTGCTGCTCGTACTGCCGTTTCTTCGGCGCACCCATTCCGTCATCTCGCCTTGAACTAGATAGGGGGCTCATTTCCTTCACAAGCTTTGAAATTAAACGGGTGGGACTGTGGGCTCGTTGAGTTTAGACACACACACGCAGAGATTCACGAATTCTCTCTGCATGTACACACGGTGTTTTCGCGGCAAAAAGCTATTCAGCAGTAGCCTTTTGAACTCTACAATCGCATATTCAGCTCTTGATGATCCTTTTGCTGTAGTTGCGATCTTCATTATTACAAAAGTAATTAATAACTGCACTAAATGCTAACTGAACTGAAGTTAAGGTTCGCAGTTTCTGATTATTCATAGGCTTTCTGGAAGCCGGAGTTCTATTGAAAGGGAAAAATATGGAGTTATAACAGGTTCATAGGAGAAAGAAGTAAAATATGGCATCTTAAAAGTGCTCACGAAGCAAAGTTAGTTCAAAAAAACCCCGGCAAAGGAACATAAAACAACGACTACCGAAAAATGCGACCTTCAGAAAATACGCAAACGCAAAGAAACAAAAACGATAAAGAATAGCTATTGCAATGCACGCAGTGTTCATGTTAGGGATCGTCTCCATCAGTCCATACGTCGGCGAGTGCTGTTACAAGACAATTTGAACAGATCTTCCAGCTTGCTAAGATATACGTCTATCATTGCGGTTAAACGGAAAACTTTTTCGCATTTATCAGCAGAGTGTTTCCAAAAGTTGAATTCGAGAGGGGACATTATTTGGCTGGTTATCATACATGCTATTAGAGGCTAGCATTTTTGAGTTTGAGTAGACGAGAGCAATGGCATTAACTAGTTCGTCGGTCGGCCTTTTCCGGGACCAGCAGGACACAACTGGTCCTGTTTTCCGACTGGACATCAGGAGATTACCAGCAGCACATTTCTCTACTGGCTTGCCTCTTCAGCGCGAGAGGAGAATGAATGTTATTTTGTTGATGAAGGTTGTTTCTCTGTCCGGCTCGCGAGAGCAAAAACGATCCTACTGTTCGCTCGGACAATGTTGTCCCTCTGTCGAAAGCTGTATAGGTCGAAAGAAAAGGAAGGCCTGTACAGAGGCGAGTTACAATATGCGCACTACAATAGCTGCTAACTACGCAAAGCCGAATAGCAACGAGGGGAAGACACAGCTGCCCATTAGGGGCAACCTAGGGAGAATTCCATAAAGGATAAGATTGGTATATGCATTGGTGCACACGTAATGGTGGTGCGGCTTGTAGGAAGAAATTGTTAGGGAATGGCCGACTGAGGTACAGTGGCTGGCTGACATCGAGTTGAAGCGGCAGCTTGGCCTCTTGGCGATTGTCGCTGGGCTAGATGTCGTCCTTTTCTGGGCAGGCGAATTCTGCACATGGTAAGAGTGCCCCAGGAAAGCAGAACTTGAAAACGGCCATACAAACCCTACTTGTCGGCTGCATTGAGACGGTGGGACACAAGTTTTCCGTTGTCTAATTAGTGAGTGCAGTAGCAGCAGCTCTCAAGGGTAAGCCGTCGAGAAATAGAGCCTGCTGTAATGCCATCGCGACTGCTAGCGCTACCACCCTGCCTCGATGTGGCGGCCATCCACCACTACCGTCTCTCCTCCTGAGAGACTATCGCTTTATTCAAACGAAACTGTCCCAGTCCAAAGACAACGGGTCTTTGTCGGGTCGCTTTCTGTACTGCTGCCGCTACTACTACTATTACAATGACCATGAGTGGTGGTGGGGTACCACTAGGACCCCAGCTCAACCACGAGTGACAGCAGTGCAAGCTAGACCCCTCTAGTCCGGACGCTGGCCGTCGCCCGTTAGAGCAGTCACTCCGGCCGACTTTTTTGCGACGCTGCCTTCCATTCCCTTGTCGATGCTTCTCCAGGGATCGCGTTATCTAGTCTGTGCAGCAGCTAGGACCTGACTGATGGCCGCTTGTAGGCCTCTTTACGTGCGTTCCTGCCGGGCCATGCGGCAAGCGGAGCTGTGAGGAACGTGAACAGAGGGATCAGCTACGCTAGAATAAAAGAGTAAGGAAGAGAGAGAGAGAGAATAAAACGATATTTGTGTAGATATCGGGCATGTGCTGTGCATCGTGTGTCGCGCCATCCAGGAGCGCAGGAGGCACAAAACGCGCACCATTTAAAAACTGATCATCTGTCGTGTTGGCAGATGTCATCTAGAAGTACTTACAGCAGTGACAGCACGACAGCATATGGCGGTTAGCGATTGCGTTAAGCCTTCTGTGTCGTGTTTTAATTCCCTCTTTTCTGATCTGAAAGTCTCGCGTCCGCCTACGCATTACACTGCGGTTAACTGTTGGACAAGGCCGACGTTCGCGGTGGAGGTGTAGACACTGGGCGGGTATAACTATGACATTGTGGAAAACGAAACCTGTGTGTGATGCCAGTTCGGGAAGCTAACATATTCCATTGAAAATGTAGCTGTTGATGGGATAGTCAATACGCCATGCCTATACCTAGTATGATATAATAAGCGATCTGGGCTACCGTATTATATCCGGTATGACTGCGCTAACCGTACGTACGAAATGGGTATCCAAACTATATATAACAGCCCGATAGCGATGTGGAAGTGGTCGCGGCGGTAACGAACACAGACATACCAAAATGCAAACATATGTTTAGAAAGACAATGTGCAAATGTTGAAAAAATACAGGCCCGCTCTTGGCCTGTTTTCCTTCAAACAGCATAGACCCTTCCTTAAAATCGAATGCTTCTTCTATGTCGACTCATCCCAACTGGCAGGTATTTCGGACGCCTGCTCTTTATACGCATTTTCTGCGACATACTGAAATACATTTCGTTAATATATGATATAGTGCTATACTACACTAGAGGTTCCTTACTGGTTTCGAGCTAGACTATTTCTGCCACGCCCGAAACCCGACGACTTACAACCTTAGTCTTCTTCATCTTTTGAGAGAAAAGTGATTTATAGATCGCATCAGCAGTATCATTACTTTAGTATCCCACAAGGGTTCTTCACGTTCAAGAAGAGCTATGTCGGGGAAAAATGCTGAGAGAAAACGAGAACACGAGAGAGGTGTGCTGCCAATCAGCAATAGCATCATTTGGTACATTGGCTGGAAATCCATCGCCATGAACGTCTCTGGTCGCCGGGGTCCGTTGAGATGCTGAACGGTGGGGGGAGGG